AATGGGGCATGTGGCATTGCCCATTTTGCAGCAGATAGTTAAGCAAGAGATGGTCAGTGGGATATGTGTCAAGGGGGAGCCCAATGAGGTGCTTGGCTGTCCAACATGCATGCAAGCCAAGTTCACCCGCTACCCGTTCCATAGCTCGGAGTCAACGGCGAAGGCACCACTTGATGAGGTGGTGATGGATGTGGTGGGCCCCTTGAAGCTTGGAGCTGCTGGAGCAGAGTAATTCCTCACCATTGTGGACGTCTACACTCGCATGACTTGGGTGTATGTGCTGCCCAAGAAGAGTGACGTAGCTGAAACGGTGAAGACCGATTGGTTGCCGATGGTGGAGCGGCAACAAGACCGACTTGTGAAGGCAATTCGCACTGACCGTGGGGGAGAGTTCCTGAGCAAGGATTTCTCAACTTGGCTGAAGAAGCAGGGCATAAGGCACTCTCTTACCATGCCCTACTCTCCTGCAATGAACGACATCGCCGAGCGTGCGAATCGGACACTCACGGAGACGGCTCGGGGACTTCTCATTGAAGCCGGTCTTCCCAATTACTTTTGGCCGGATGCGGTGCGGCATGCTTGTGTGGCCAAGAACAGAGCCTTGACTCATGTGGGAGAAGACAAATGCGTGCCCTATGTGGAGTGGATTGGAAGGAAGCCGAAGGTGGATATGCTTCGGGTGTTCGGGTGCACATGCATGGCACTTGTGCCTAAGAAACTTCGGCACAACAAGCTTGATGCCAAGGCAACATGGGCCGTGCACCTGGGCATGGCTCAAAACAGCAAGGGATGGCTTCTTTGGGACCCATTTGCCAAGAAGTTCTTGGTGAGCAGAGATTGCAAGTTCATGGAGAACTTACCGTACAAAGAGTGGAAGGCCGAGAACCAAGCGAAGATTGGTGTGCGGCTTGGAGAGGTGAAGAGTAACGGCTTGGAGCATGTGGAGCTGCCCTTGGAGCTGAGTAGTAGCAGCACAGTCACGAGGCAATCTCCTCAAATGAACGGGGATGAGGAGGAGGAGGAGGTGCAGCAAGGTGATGAGCGTGCACCGTCACTTCCGCCTCGTGCTACAAGTGCTCGTGGGAACCGACCAGATTTACCGCAACGCCATGAGAGCATTCAAGTCCCTGCAGCAGAGGAGGAAGGAAGGGGGAGAAGGAGGACTCAGCCCCCTAATAGGCTGAGCTATGACCGGCTTGGAGGACCAGCCAACTCAACCTTGACCGGTTCGGCTCTCATGCTAGGCGATGATGCGGAAGATGAAAGCGAGGAGTGCGCCTTTGCCTTCTTCTCTCCGGTGGAGATGCCGGGGGAGCCTACAAATCCCAAGGAGGCTTGGGAGGGCCCCAATGGGAAGGAGTGGAAGAAGGCCTCAGATGAAGAAATGGGGAGCATCATCGAGAACGACACGTTTGACTTGGTGAACCTACCTCCGGGGCGTAAGGCGATCTCTTCCAAGTGGCTCTTCAAGCGCAAGACCGACGCCGATGGCAACATCGAGCGCTACAAAAGCAGAATTGTAGCCAAGGGGTATCAGCAGCAAGAGAAGAAGGACTACAATGAAGTGTATGCCCCTGTGGTGAAGGGTACAACCCTTCGAACCCTCTTCGCCGCGGCGGCCATCAAAGGATGGGTGGTGAAGCAAATGGATATAGTAACGGCCTTCCTCAACGGCGTTTTGGAGGAAGAAACCTACATGGAGCAGCCAGAGGGGTACAATGATGGGAGTGGCAGAGTGTGGAAGCTGAAGAAAGCACTCTATGGCCTCAAGCAAGCCCCTAGGCAATGGTACATCAAGCTGCGGGAAGTCTTGGAGGCGATCGGCTTCACTCCCTCAACGGCCGATCAATCCTTGTTCATGCTTGCCGAGGGGGAGCAGAGGAGCTTCATGGTGGTTTATGTGGATGACATCCTCATATTCTCACCCTCCTCTGACCTTGTGAAGGAGGTGATGCTGAAGCTTCAAGACAAGTTCAAGTGCAAGACCCTTGGTGACGTCAACTACTACCTTGGGCTTCACATTGAGCGAGATGTGGAGAAGCGGTGGATGCGAGTGCATCAAAAGAAGTACTTGGAGGCTTTGGCTGCAATCTTTGGGAAGAGTGAAGGTCATGTGGCTACTCCTCTTCCCTCAGGGTTCAAGTTTGTGAAAGGACCAGCGGAGGAAAGTGTTGGTGAAGAGGAGAGGCGCCGTTTTCACTTCTTGGTGGGCAGCCTCATGTATGCGGCCGTTCACACAAGGCCGGATGCAGCCTTTGCTACCGGGCAGCTGGCTAGGGTTGTCCAATGCCCAAATGAAGAGCAGGTAGCTGCTGGAGAGAGGGTGGCCAAGTACCTTGGCCAAACAGCAACTGTTGGACTGCAATACTCCGCGGCGGCACAAAGGCGTCAAAAGGGTGCGGATGGAGTCGAACCCGGGAGGCTCTTTCTCACTGCCTTCTCTGATGCATCTTGGGCATCAGAACCTGAGGATATGACAAGTGTGGGAGGCTTCATCTGCTGTGTTGGTGGAGGCCCAACAGCTTGGGAGAGCAAGAAGCAAGTGGACCAAGCATTGAGCTCGGTGGAGTCCGAGTACATGGCACTCTTCCGTGCCATAAGAGAGGTTGTGTGGCAGCGGCGTTTGCTAGCTGAATTGGGGGAGGAGCAGCAAGGACCTACCCCACTCTACTGTGATAGCCAAGGTGCTATTGCATTGGCTAAGAACCCCGTTCTTCATGGCCTTACCAAGCACATGAAGGTGAAGTGGCATTGGGTGAGGAGCATGGTAACCGCGGGTGAAGTGGAGTTGCACTACGTGAAGACGACGGCGCAGCCAGCTGATATGATGACCAAGAGGCTGGTTGAGCAGCAGCATTGGAAGTGTTGCAAGCTTGTTGGGATGGCTCTGAACTAAGGGGAGCAGATTCTAAGGCCAACAATCCGAGGGGGAGTTTGTTGGTGCAACCCTATGGCTTGCACTCGGCTTGTCGTCCTTGTTTGTGTGTGTGCATGCATGGCATGGAATGAATTGTGAGTCTATGTCATTGCTATCCAGTGCTTGTGTGTGTGTTTGAATGGTGTATCACAATGTGGTTTGTGTCGGTCAAGACATTAGCGAGTTTCTACAACTCGCATGTCAAGTCGTCGTTGGTGTGTCGCATGTGCTTTTTCTATTTTGTCGAGTGTGAAGTGTCCATCGTGTCGCAGGTGTGTGCAGCAAGCCCCCATCAACTCAAGAAGAATTTATCTTGCAGATCCAAGAACAAGAGCTCAAGATTTCAAGCCCAAGGGACGCGGATAAATATTAAATAGTGAAAATAGTAACGTTACTTCGTGTAGTGTTACATTTCACTTGGTGTAGCCCCTTGGAGGGTTGGTTTCGAGACTCTTCATGGTTGGGGACTCTGTGGTGGTGTACCACCAACCTGGAACTCGGCTCTTGGGGTATGTAGAGGCTGGGAACCATCTCCCTCTCGAACTCTTCTTGCTCGGTTTGTTCTCCTAAGACTATAGTGGCTGCTTTACCTCCTGCCAGTAAAACCGCCATAGCATCGTCAAATCTTCATGGAATTTCATGATTCAACTTGCTGCTGATAGACGACAACAATGCACTCCTGATCCAACTTACGGATTACCGTTTGATTCAGCGACCAGATCGTTATCGATATTTGAAGTCGTCTGACGGAAATCCGACTGTGCTCTCTATCTCTCATTATAGGCACATCTAAGCCTATTGTGATTATAACAGGTCTGCCGCTAAGAGGGTTTTGCGTTATCTTGCAAGTACATCGGGCATGGGGTTAGTGCTAGGAGGACGCAGGCCAGTGGTCCTTACTGGGCACACAGACGCTTCTTGGGCAGACGACTCTGAGACTCTCAGGTCGTCTCAGGGCTACTGTTTTAGTCTTGGTTCGGGTGCCATCTCTTGGAGATCCACTCGCTCGTCGTCTGTTGCTCAGTCCAGCTGTGAGTCTGAGATCTACGCCAGTGCCATGGCGGCACAGGAGCTCCGCTGGCTTACCTTCTTGCTCACTGACTTAGGTGAGCGGCCTAGCTCTGCCCCAGTCCTGTACGCTGACAACAGGGCCATGATTCTCCTGTGTCAGGAGCCTCGTCTTGAGGGCAGAGCGAAGCATATCCAGCTGCGGTACTTCCTCCTGCGCGAGCTACAGCAGCGTCGCCAGGCCCGCGTAGTTCACTTGGCCTCCGGTGCCAACACAACTGATATCTTTACTAAGGCGCTTGCGCCTAAAGATCATCAGCGGCACTGTGTCCAGCTTGGTCTTGTTCCTGTAGCTGCTCACTTGTTAGGACCCTGACTTGTGTACTGCTTACTATATATATACCTGTCTGACTAGCCTTGTGGCTTTACTCCCAGTGGCTGGACTAGTAGTGCCGCCCTGGTTTGCTTTTGTCTTGTCTGTACTCTTGCTGACTGGTCTTTGGACCCCTGCCTCAGTGGTTGGACTAGTAGTGCCTCCCTGAGCTGTGTGCTTCTTGCTTGCACCACCCCTTCTCTAGCCTAGGGGGTGTGTCAACTTATACATGTCATGCATGTAGAAGTTATAGGGTAGTATCGGTGTGTGCTCCTAGGGAGTACAACCCAATAGCTATATGTTCCTTGTTTCACCTTCTAGTCGATTTTTCTCGTATGCTAACAGATTATAGCAAGGGGATACAAGGCTTATATAGTAATACAAGAGGATATGAAGAGTCTAACTGTTTGTGCACTTCGAGGGGTACATTCCCCTTTTACGACTCGATAATGCGACTCGGGTAACCACCTGTACTGTAATATCGGGACGGTTATTTGTCCTTGCTGTCGCGCTAACTCTTGACTCTTGCGATTCTGATTGTTGAGTTGCACGGTCAACGGTCTGCGACCGTTGCCCTTTCGTAACCTCTGTGAGGTGTCATTGATCTGTGTGAATCGTCAGAGGTACTGTAGCAGTGTTGACTCAGTAATCCTCGCTGTTGTAGTCTTCGCGTATTTCGTACACTCACGCGAGACTCCGGAAATGCCTTAGGTCCTTTTATCATTTCCAACAGGCTTGGTAGGCGCTAGCACACCACAGACGCAACACCCCCGAGCCCTTGCACCCCCATGTCCTGCAACAGCTATGGCTTCTACCGCTTGGCATGCGAGACGGGCGACGTCTGCGGCAGGTGGCAGCAATGGCGTCAACGGCGGCTACGACGTCGACACCGGCGGCAGCGGTGGCAGGTGGCGGCGGAGCCAGCTGCACCTGCAGTGGCGGCAGCGGCTTTGGCGACGGCGGCGGCGATTGCGAAGCCCGCGGCACCTGGCGGCGTGGCACGGCCCGGCGACGACGGGGAAGGGAGTCATCACCTGCGGCTGGGATGAGGGGAGACGCACGGGAGGGGGCGTGCCTTCAGCGAGGTGCCCTGGCTGGCGCGCTGGCTGGTGTGCAGGCGTGCTGGCTGGTGCTTAAGACAGTGCGCTGGCCGCAGCCGTCCGTGCGCTGGCACATCGAAGCCGCCACGGCAGCACGACGACGCCGCCGCGGCAGCGCGGCGAGGCCGCCACAGCTGCTCGACGAGGCCGCCATGGCAGCAGGACGTGGCCGCCACGGCAGCACGTCGAGGCCGCCACGGCAGCACATGGAGGCTGCCACGGCGGGACGGAAGTGAGAGGAGAGGAGAGAGTACGCGGCGGAAGCGTAAATAGGAGGCTAAGCAGGATCTTCCTGCTCTGAAACCATGTTACGAGGAGATTCTAGTTAGTAGAAAGTGGCGAGAGAAAATAGAGTTTGACTAGGAGAGAGAGAGAGGTACAAGAAGTGGGTTGTACCCTCTACAGTAGGATCCAGTCATTTGTAGAACACCCAACACCTACCAAGCCTAAACAACTAAATATATAGAATATATAAGTCGACAAGACCAACTTCATTGTGAAAAATCCAAATGACAATGCCGACCTACACAAAATCCAGAATTTGCACTATGACACCTTACAAGCTGCGACACACTACTTGAGAGCTAAGAACCACGCATCTGCGAGGCAGAGCGCTCAGAGCTCCTCCTCATCCGGCGCGGCTCCCACGATCTCCACGAGCTCCGTCTCAAAGATGAGCGTCGCACCGCCTGCCGTGAGGCAGATGGCACGCAGGGGAGAGGAGGGTGGGGAGAGGAGGGCGGGGAGAGGAGGGTGGGGAGAGGGGAGAGGGAGGGGACGGCAGGGAGAGGAGGGGGGGAGGGGAGGGCAGGGAGAGGAGAGTGGGAGGCATGCGGAGTGCCGATGAGCTTGGATGCGTGAGGCGATGCGGCATGCGGGGCGAAGGCAAACAGACCCGAGCGAGAGCAGGGAGGGATAAGAGTGTGCAATGCAGGAAGACAGGAGCTCTAAGAGCAGAACAGCGAGGGACTGTGCAGCTTCAGGGGAAGGGAGAGTGGAGAATGTACCGGGGATCTTGGGCGGCGAGCCCGACTCGCCATAGCCCATGTGCGAGGGGATCTTGAGCTTGCGCTTCTCGCCCACACACATGCCCAGAATGCCGATGTCCCACCCTGCACGGCGCGGGGAGGAGGGGGGAGGGGGGAGGGGAGGGGGGGGGAAGAGGGAGATGTAAGGAGAGGCAGCAGGTGAATGAGGGGGAGCGGAGAGGTCAGGGGAAGGGGGATGCGTGACGAGGTGGGAGGGTGGGGAGAGGCAGGACGGCACGCGTGGTGGAGTGTGCTTGCAGCTTGAGCTGTGAGCGCCACGTCCCCTCCCACATGTGTTTTTATGTGTGCGGGCTGCTCAAGGCAGCACCCGCGTGTCACACCACTGGCATAGCATCCGCGCCCTTGCACCACCACACCAAGGCATCGCATCCTCTCATCAGGTCGCATGCGCACCACATCGCATGCCTCGCATGGCCCTCGTTCACGCGCTAGCTCTAACAAGCCACAGTGCAAGCACATCCTTGTTCTCACCCCGCCGTGCAGCACAGAGCAAACCATCACCACAGACGCCATAAAGCCACACATCCTCCCTTCCACCGGCCGTCACCGGTGCGTGCCTGGCCAGCCAGGACTGGTGGGCACCAACCGCGACTTCCATCACCACAACCATGAATCCTTCTCAACCCCAAAAAATCACCCCCCTCACCCTTGATCACGTTGGTCCACGCCCTCTCACCCTTGATCACGTTGCCTTGCCCCAGGCGGAACTGGATGGGGTCGCTGCGGTCGTAGCTGGAGTCAAACACCGTGCCGTCCGTCAGCATGCCCTGGGCACGCACAATGGGGAGGGCAGGGAACGGGGGGACGGGGGTGGTGGGAGGATGGCGACGGGGGGTCGAAGCTCGACTCAAACAGCATGCTCTGTCTGTGGGGGGGAGGGGGACGAGAGGGTAGGGGGAGTGGGTAGTGCAGAAGACAACGTTGACAAGTCGTTTCCTTCCTTGACCCATCAGCAGCCGCGGCTGTGTCAATCACGCGCGGATGCCTCGGCGGCCAGTCGCTGTTTGGATACCCACGCACGCGGGAGGCATGGGAGGCGTGGGAGGCATGGGAGGCATGGGAGGCATGGGAGGCATGGGAGGCATGGGAGGCATGGGAGGCATGGGAGGCATGGGAGGCATGGGAGGCATGGGAGGCATGGGAGGCGGGACGAACGGATTGGGCGCCGCCTCATGGCATGCACGGCGGACACACATCGGATCGTCTCATTCGTCAACTTACCTTGTAGTGAACCCTGACTGTATCGAGGTTGCGCGCCTTGAGCTTGCATGTCGCCGGCTTGAACTGCGCGCCGAGGGGAGACGGGCGAGGGATAGGGGGGGGCGCAAAGGGCGGCGGGGAGCGTGTGGGCGTTGAGATGGAGAACGCCGGAGGGAGGGGGGAAGAGAAGGAAAGGCGAGTGACGAGTTGAGAGAGGGGGGAAAGAGCGGAGCTAGATCTGCGCATGAGCTGCAACGAACAACGCCAAGCGGACCGTCTGAGTCGAGTCAAAGGCGGACCTTTGGAAGCAACAGCAGGCGACGCCACGCGACTCGGCGCTCACCTTGACGCCGATCTGCAGCTGCGTGACGTCCTTCTCCGTCTTGCCGCTCGCTGCCAGCAAGCAATCGAGATTCGAGCGAGAAGGGGGCGGAAAGACGCGTCAGGCGAAAGAGTTGCGGCCGCGCGAGAGGGGGCGGGTAGAAGAGTGAGGCCATTCCGGGCGGTGGAAAAGGAGAAATCGGCACAGAGAAAGGCAGGCGTGGGCGCTCACCCGAGATGGCGACCACTGCGAAGAGCAGCGCGAAGAGCGCGAGTCTCGAAGCCATGCTGGTCCCAGCACGCGAGCCAGAGAAGGCGATGGTTGGAAATACCGAACACGAGGCAGGTGGGAAGAGCGCAAGCGCGAATAAGGACGAGATGCGACGCTGCGATGCGGCGCGACGACGACCTTCAGTATTCAGTGTGCACAAGACTACGGAGCCGTCAGACGTGGCTGGGTTGCTGCTGCTCCGAGATGCAGTTATTCGGCGGGGGAATTTGCTTCGACACTGGGATGTTCAGGGTATACGCAGATCCGTTTTTATTGATGCGTTCCAAGCAATTTCCCGAAACTTGTAGCACCTTCATATCCGGATGGAATCAAGTAATACAATAAGCAAGTCGTGAATAAGAAGTGACGATACAATGAAGCACAAGCCTAAATATAGGCAGGCACGTATAGGCTAGTGGTGAACCTTGATGTTGAGCCACAAAACTTAGGGACAGTACATCCGCGCGTATAGGGTCCCCGCTATCACGTACGGTCACTGGAACGCTATAAACCATCAGAATGAGTGAGTTCGTTACACGGTTAGTTAGTCGGGTTCCACGGTTAGTCAGTGACTGCTGGTCAACATTTCTACGAATGGTCAGTGGACGTAACCCCCCCCCATTTTGGGCAGATTTGTTCAAGTGTGTTGGAAATACCTTAAGGACTTAAGCGTTTCTGAAGTGTAACACTATACTCGAGTAAAGCCGTATCGAGTACACGGGTCAACGGAGGTTACACGAGGAGGTTGAACGAAAGAAAACGAAAGGACGAAAGACTCGAAGGGTCGCAACCGGAGTTTGCGAGAGACCGTTACAACTGCAAGGGTGGTAACCGAATTGACAATCGAGTCGCTATGCGACTCGATAACCGTTCCTTCAACTGTATTCTACAACTGCTTTACTTTCCTATTTTCTATATATTGCTGTATGCTTGTTTCTTTTAATCAATCACTTGCTCTCACATACTAGTGCAAGGGTTCAACTACTCAACTTCCGCTGCACTACTCAAGTATCCTTGTATAACTGGGACTTAGTCTCTGAAGGATCCTAAGGGCTTTCTTCAGCCCAACAAAGTGAAAGAATGTCTAGAACAAGGCATACAAGGGAATATAACCTAATGGATTGTACTCCCTAAGGCACAACCCTATATAGTCTACAGAAACATACAATATATGTTCGTCACATCCCCTAGATTGGATAGGGACAGTGCCCGATGAGAGAGAAACAGCTAAGGGTGGCACTACTAGTCCAGCCTCTGAGGCAGGGGTCTAAAGACCAGTCATACAAGTACAAACAAGGCAAGAGCAAGACCAAGGTGGCACTACTAGTCCAGCCACTGGGAAGAGGCCACAAGGCCAGTCAGGGTAATATATATAAAGGTCTGTACACAATCAAGGTCCTAGCAAGTGAGAGGCTATAGGAACGAGACCTAGCTGTACACAGTGCCGCTTTAGACGCAAGTGCCTTAGTAAAGATATCAGCTGTGTCGGCACCTGAGGCCAAGTGTACTACACGAGCCTGGCAATGCTGCTGCAGCTCGCACAGGAGGAATTACCGCAGCTGGATGTGCTTCGCTCTGCCCTCAAGTCGTGGCTCATAACACAGGAGGATCATGGCCCTGTTGTCAGCGTACAAGACCGGGGCAGAGCTAGGCCGCTCACCCAAGTCGGTGAGCAAGAAGGTCAGCCAGCGGAGCTCCTATGCCGCCATGGCACCTGCGTAGATCTCAGCCTCACAACTAGACTGGGCAACAGACGAGGAACGGGTGGACCTCCACGTGATGGCACCTGCACCAAGGCTAAAGGAGTAGCCCTGTGAGGAACTGAGAGTCTCGGTGTTGTCTGCCCAAGAAGCATCTGTGTGCCCGGTAAGGACCACTGGTCTCCGCCCTCCTAGCACTACCCCTATGCCCGATGTACTTGCTAGATAACGCAAAACCCTCTTAGCTGCCGACCAGTGGTGTGGTCGGTGTCTGCCTGGGGCCACAAAGCGAGCCAGGATGCTGAGGGGGTATGCGACATCTGGACGAGTGCAAGTCATCAGGCACATGAGGCAACCCACTAGCTCTACGTAGGGACCACTAGGCTCTACAGCCTCCTCAGGGATTGGGGCAGAGAGTCTGTGGTCTACTGATAGAGGGGTGGGCTGTGCGGAAGAGAACTAAAGGCCGAACCTCTGAAGGACCTGGCGTACCAAGTGTGACTATGAGAGAGTGATGGTGCGCGCTACTCTGTCCTTGGAGATCTGCAACCCAAGGTAGCGGCACAGCTCTCCTACGTCAGTGCAGGTGTGTCTCCTCAGCAGCTCGGCCTTCACGGCGGCCAGTGCGTCTCTGTCTGCAGTAGCAAAGACCAGATCGTCTACGTTGACAAGGATGTAGAATGGAGTCTAGCCGGAACGGACAAAGAGCGAAGGTCATTTTCGGAGTCGAGGCGAAGGTCTGAAAGAAGTCCACCCACTCACAGTGACTGAAGCCTCGAGCAACGTGGCACACCTTGAAGACAGGCGGCTCTCCAGGAGGGCACTTCACCTTGAAGAGCCACCGGTGGTTGACTACGTTCACCCCAGGTGGGGGAACTGCGTCGACAAAGGTACTGGTGGATCTCCAAGATGCCATCTCCTCCTCCATGGCAGCTATCCACTGAGAGGCCCAGGGTCCCGAGGTAGCCTCAGCGTAGGTGCGAGGGGTCGGGATGTCGAGGGCGTCTAGGTCACCCTCAGGGACTAGTAGCATGGAACAGAGATGGGGAGCGGCCTCAGACAGGAAAGCGAGCTCGAACTGCCTGTCCTCTAGGACGTCACTGCCTAGAGCAGCCACACCCCTGACGGCCGGAGGGCAGGCAGGGTCAGAGACCAGAGCGGTGGTGTAGTCCAAGCGGCGCGTAGTGGCGAAGTCAGTGACAGCAGCGGCAAGAGCCGACACACTCGAGACAGGAACGGACGAGCCGGTAACGAGAGAGGCAAGGACACGAGGAACAAGGGGGCGCGCAGCACGAAGGAAGTCCGAGAATGGAGGCGGGGCCACAGCAAGCGACGACGGAGGAGGAGACGGGAGGAGAGGAGGAGCACGAGACGCGTGAGAGCGAAGCAACATAGGGTGAGAATGCGGAACAGGGGAGGTAGGACGAGCACGAGACGGACGACGAGACCAGACGTGAGATGGAGGAGTCAGGTCAGGAGAGAGGGGAGGAGACACAGGAGGAGAACAGGGAGGGAAACGAGCCGGAGAGGAGTCCGGGGGAGGAAACACGGGGCCGTGGACCGGCAGAGGAGGAGGCGGCGGCAGCGGGGGAGGCAGCAACGGGCGGTAAGGGGAAGGGAGACCGAGGAGGCAAAGAGCGGACACCGGCGGCGACAGCTGCGAACGCTGCCCCACTCCAACACCAGAACCTCCAGCAACAACACGGCTCCCTCCAAGAAGCCCCATGCCAGCACCCCCAGAGCCCGCTCCAGAACCAGCTCCAGCCCGCTCCCCAGCACCCCCAGAACGCATGAACCCCAGCGGCAGTGACGACGGCGGCTGCGGCTGCGGGTGCAGCGGCGGAGGCGGCTGTAGCGGGGACAGCAGCGGTGGCTACAGGGGAGGCGAGACCGGGGCAGGGACAGGCGGGGGAAGAGACTCCGCCGAGCTGCGAGAGTCAGCGGACTCCTCGGCAGGGACAACCGACGGGAGGGGGGTGACGTGAGACACACCAGACGGGGCAGGGCAGGGAGGGGGGTGGACAGGGTCGACCGGGGGAGGGGAGGGCACCAGGAACTGGGGGGGAGTGACCGGGGGACCACGGTGGGGAAAGTAGTGGTAGAAGGAGACGGACTCGTCAAAATAGACGTCACGAGAGTGAAAGAACCGGTGAGAAGACGGGTGGTAGAACTGGCAGTCCGACGAGTTGAGGGGGAAACCTAGGAAGACACAGGGGACGGAGTGGGCATTGAGCTTGTCTGTGCCAGAGGCACGAACGTGAGCAAGGCAGCCCCAAACGTGGAAAGCACACTCGTCACAAGGAGACCCGGTCCAGATGAGGGTCGGCGAAACCTGCGACCGCTGAGGGTGCGGCCAGAGGTTAAGTTGGTGAGCGGCGTAGCGAACGGCGAACGCCCACAGAAAATGGGGTGCACCGGCATGGATCATGGAGGTACGAGCAACCTCCATGACCAAACCGATGCGTCGCTCAGCGACCCTATTCTGCTATGGGGACTCCGGCACGGTGAATGTCTGGGTGATGCCCTCCGCACGACGGAAGCGACCAAGGCAGCCAGAGGCAAACTCGCCACCACGGTCGGAGTGAAGACGCAAGACAGGGAGACCTCGGTGAACATGCATAGAGACAAGTCACGGGAGAAGAACGTCAGGCACGTCGGCCTTCCGCTCCAGGGGAAAGATGGTGGTGTAGCGGGTGTAGTCGTCGACAAGCACTAGGAAGTAGCGCTCTCAACGCGGCCCATGGACAGGGGCGGGGCCCCAGACGTCCATGTGCAGGGTCTGCAGCGGTGCGGAGGTAGGTGGGAATGAGGAGTGAGGGGCACGGTGGAGCCGGCCCTCGACACAGGGCGTGCACGGAGGCGCGGGTGAGGAGGGGAGCGCAGGGAACGGCTCAGGGAGGCCTAGGACAAGACGGTGCTAGGATATGTGACGGAGACGGATGAGGGTAGGGTGACTTAGACGGTGGTGCCACAGAAGTGACGGGTGAGTAAGCGACTGACACGAGCACGCCGCAGCATCCTGGGAAGACGCTGGTACCTGGGGAGGCGTCTCAACCGGGGGGGAAGCGATGTCCAGCGTGAACAGGCCAGACACCGGGTCCCGAGGGAACGTGGTGAGGGGGGCACCAGTGGTGGCCTCAGTACAGATAGCGTACCGCTCGTGCCCAAGGAACATAGTGGTGACGCCAAGGTCCTGGAGGCAGCCGCCACCAACTAGGTTCCTAGAGAACGAGGGGATGTGCAGGCCTGTAAGGGAGCCTGAGGGAACCGCCGAACAGGGGAGAGTAGTGGAGCTACGGGCAACTACAGGAGTGAAGGAAGGTTCTGCAAGAGCAACTGCAGCAGGAGCGGCAAGCGGCGTAAGCGTCGTGGAGTCGAGAAAGAAACACTGGGAAGCACCGGAGTCCAGGGTGAAGGAGAGCACGGCAGCGGCGACAGAGGTTGGAGGAGCGAGGGAGGACCTTAGGCTAAACAAGGCAGGGGATCCTACACCTGACGCAGCAGGGGAGCCT